CTAGTATACCATGGTATTTTCATAAGTAACCTACTATCGAGGCATGTTTTATACTTTCACATTTCAGTACTTTTAGGCTACGTATTAAACGTAAATTCCTTCAATAGTAAAAGTTTCTTATTTCGTGTTATATTGTTGTATTGTTTTGTATACACAAATGAATGTGATCCATAATGTCATCTCACCGTCCGATGTTTTGGCCACCGACTAGGGGTGTGACACTAAACTTGGCGGTGATCTCTGCCATAATCTTAGTAGTTTTCTCAAGAGCCTAAAATCACGAGCCAACTATTGCTTCTCGATCATTGGTACATACTTTGCCTTGAACTTGGTCACAAAGTTAATCCAATTCAAAGCCTCTATCACCTCTCTTCTAGAGCATGACCCACCTCACCCCACCAGTCACAAGCCTTATCTTGTAGAAGAGATGCAATAAACCAAGCCTTCGACCCTTGCATCCAGAATCTAGTTAAATATCACTCTCTAGGTTTGCAATCCAACGCATAGTGTTTATAGGATCCTTCTTCCCGAAAAAGAAAAACTCAGGAGCCCGATAAATGCGCAAGCCACAAAAACTGAGATTGCATCCCCCAAGCCGACTAAGTACCAACTCAGTTTGCAATATATGAAAACGATCATCCATCATCTCTATCAACTCTTCCTTGACCATGCCAAACATACCAGACAACTCCTCAAGGATGGCCTTCGAAACCTCTACAACGACCAAATCGCATAACCCAACATTATCCGACCTAGATCCAGAGTCTAAACCAGAACCAGAACCATAATACAATCTCTTTAGATTTTTTTTAGAGTTTCCTTGATTTGAGTATAGATCTTGCATTTTCAGTTATGCGTCTATACTACCTTCCACACCTATCTATACTTTCATCAAGAATCATCCCAAAACTCATAAGTCGCTACCTACTACCATAAACTGACTCTCTCTCAAAATAATGTACCACTACATTAAGATGCTTCCTAGGTATTCCTAGGACCTTCCTCCATCACTCATATGCTAAAAGGGTCTCCACCAGTGCTGATAAACCACCCCACGAATAAAGGTCGTACATATTTAGAATAAAATTGGCTATCAAATAAATGTACTGGCCATAAAGCCTTCATCAAACAAGAACATTCAATAAGACTGAATCAAAGATTCTAAGCCTATCTAAAGCTAAACAAGAGAAACCTTAAAGTATTCATTAAAAAGGTTTATCATTACTAGAATATACCTTCTCAAACATATAGGAACACATATCAAGAATAGAAAGGAATATCTTGTAAAATGCATTCTAACATGTAATCCTGAGCAGATCCTTACTTTACTTCTATCCTGCTATAATATCATAACATAAACTATTATATCTTTTTTGTATGGGTATTCTGGGAATTACTTATTTGAGATTCGACAAATTGTATGCATCACACTAATTTCTTTATAAAAATATTTTGTAAAAACATTTTCTCATTCCTAATTTTGAGTTCAGAAGTATCTAGTGCTAGCCCCTCAAACCAAGGCTCTGATACAAACCTGTAGTGTCCCAAAAATATAGAGTAAATTTTCATTCTTAAAAAACATAAAACCATTCATTCCATCCAATTAAAATGAAATCAAAGTATAGAAAGTAGTCTCAATAAACATCAGAATAAGAACATTAAACAAATATTGCAGAATCTCAGGTGGATGCGATGCATTCAGGCCGAGCTCTTCCCTTTACTACTAGATGTAGCTGAAACATTTAAACTTAAACCATAAGCACAAGCTTAGTGAGTTTCTAAGATACAACATAGAACCATATATAAAGTAACATGTCTGCTTCAACCCGATGATCTATTTGTCTATTTCAATTGAACATGTATATATATATATATATATATATATATATATATATATATATATATATATATATATAGACACACACACACTAGCATACCAAAAAGAGTAAAAAAAGACACACATAACGACACCTAGTGTCCTATAGTAAAGTGAGAAGACTCACCCCATATTGAGTAAGATAATCACCTCAACTAGTAGAAACATGAAGGCCGTTACAACAACCACCTACCATGTAATAAAAAGTAAAACCGCATACTATGACCTAAAACCCTAAAGTGTGTTACAGTTTCTTCTGGCATCTTGCGCCCACAAAAGGACAAAACAATCGAGATTTTAGGCTTTAAACATTGATGCTGAGAAAATCCTTAAAGTGCATCGTATTTAGGAAAAGCGTATCGTGCTCAAGCCAATTTCACAAGTTTTTTTTGACTTAATCCATTAAGTTACAACCCTATCTTCTAGATCTAAATTGTAATAAGGTCCAAATTGATAAACTTTCATACTTTATCCATTAAGACACAACATAACAACCAAGATGTAGACTTTTGCACTACAAATAACCTAAATCATCACCAATACTTGCATAGATTGTAGAGGGGTCTAAAGGTATAAACTTTATGAGTTCAAATGGTTCAAACAATAAACCTAAGTGACCAAAAGGAGCTAGAGTCGTGTAAGCTCCAAGCTCACCTCCAAAATGGGAACAAAAATGTATAAAACAGACAATAAGCATGATTTAACAAATGAAAAGGAAATCTTGAAGCTTTATACTCACAAAAGTCTAGGAGATGTGCAAACTTTATGGATCTACACTTTTTCTTCTCTTCCAAGCACCAAAAGAAACTATGATCTTCAAGATTTAAGCACAAAACATGAAAAAATAAGCTCCAAAGGTGAAGGGAGACTCTAATCAAGTTAGAGGAGGCTAGGGTTTCGTGGGATCTCTTTATTGAGTGACAGAGGCTGAGAATTAGCTAACCCTAGGGGTTAATGGTGCTTAAATGCCTCCAGATGCCTAAAAATACATTCAACCCACGGGTTGGGTGCACCGCACCCTTAATAGGTGTCCCGCACCCATCGTGATAAATCCAACTTCCATTTTTAAAATTCAGCCAATTGATCAAATTTAAAACCAATTATGTACCATGAAAAGGATGCTACATATATTGTTTTAAAAATATCTTGGAAATTTTTTGATATTTACAAAACTTTTTGGGAATTAAAGACTTAAGAGTTAGGTTGTCACCTTTATCTAATTCCATTCCATAGTTAAATTTTGGAATTACTCAGTAGGATTCTCAATCTTAACATACTATTTTGACATGTACTCACATATGAAGTTGAAACATAGAGAACATTGCTTGGATATTTAAGAAGGTCATAACTTGTATGGTTATTTAAACTTTTGTGACAATATTGGAACGTGGGCACCCTCACATTTTAGATTACTTAACTTTTGGATTTTACATTAATAAATGCACGTTTTAGACCAAATTCACTATTGATCTTTAAAAATGTTCGAAATGATTTTTATGAAATTACTATTTCTACTAGTCTATATGAGGGATGTTTCAAGAACAATACCTATGACATATATATGGGAAGAACTGACTACAGGAAAAGTCTATTAAGGAAAACATGTTTACTATAAAGGCTACTTTTCTAAAGTCCATGTATCATGGACTTTAGAAACTTTTTGGGAAAATCACCTATAGGAAGTGTATTTTGGCTTTTATCCATAGCAACCATTATGAACATTGAGCATAAAGTTTATCATCAGATGGAAACTATCTATGAAAATGACTAATTTCATGTAAGTTATGAATTTCTGAACATCCATGTTTTTTTTAAAATAAATAATTAATATTGGAAAAATTATCTTACTAAGTAATATTTGACAAAATTTTGTTACCGCACATACGGCCACAAAATTGTTGGCGAGAGCAATGTTAGGAGTTTCATGTAAAGCTTCTTTGTAAATGTTTATCTAATTCCTAAAGTATATGTGGTATCCTAGTTAGGTTTGTTATCTTCTGCCTTTATAAAGCCATGTACACATGATTCATATTGGATATGCAAAAAAGGAAGTCTCTTCCTCTATATCATATTCTTAGTTTATACATGGTATTAGAGCATACCACATATTTTTGAAAAATGTAAATCTCATCCTTCAATGGGTGACACAGGTTTCTCTAACCCTTCAACAGTCATTATCCAGAATGTGCAAGATGCACCGTACCCCACCAGAGTCATCCTCGATGACATGAACTATTCCTTCTGTTCTCAACTAATGGATTTGCGAATTGGTGCAAGAAACAAATCTGAATTCATTAAAGGTACACCCTTGAAACCTACAACTAATGAAAACAAAAATCAAATTCTGGTTAATTGATAATAATCGAGTTAAAATTTAGATTATCAACTCGATGAGTCCAACCCTAAATCGCTGCTTCACTAGTCTCCAAACGACGACAAAAATGTGGGTTTATTAATCGGTTTGGTAATCACAATCTTACATGCATGGATGAAACTTTGGTTATAATAAGTATTTATTATCTTATATTTTATTAGCTTAGTAGATAGAATTGTTTTTCTTTGTTTGACCAATTCCATGGACTTTGGAGCACATGGGAAGAATGGGTCAGTAGGTGGTACAAGTCTTTAGGCTTTTTTCTTGTTTTTGCATGTGGCTTTTAAGAAGGATATATCTAGCCTTCTATCATGAATAAAAGTATCAGAGGTTTTTTGCTTTCAATTTTCCATTCAGTACATTAGTTCTTTTTATAATCAATATTTTCTTTTCTTCTATTCTGTCGACATATTAGAGCAGCAAACAAACACAGGCTGTTATTTTGATTTATATATTCTACATTTGGTATCAGATCTCCAAGCTTCTATTGAAGGGTGTGTAAGTTCTTATAACAAGAAAAGATGCAGCTCCATCCTTGATGATCCTTGTTCCGGGTTAAAGAGAGCCTAACCTGAAGCGGGGAAGAGAAGCGGAAAGAAATCAGAACGGGTGGGTTTTGATTTTGCTTACTCACATCTGGTAAAAGAAAACAAAAGAAGCAGGAGCTTGGTTTTCTTGACAAGTGGAAGAGGAGTCTCAATTGGAACGGGTTGGATCTGAAAAGTTTGGGGTTGTCACAAGAAAGGAAAAATGGCGTTAGCAGTAAAAGATGGTGGTTCAATGTCATATCAGATTCTGATTTTGACCCCAACCAACTATCTGGTATGGGCAGTCAAAGTAAAGTCCATCATGGATGCACATGGAATATGGGAGACTGTTGAAGCAAAGACATCCGGTGGAGAATCGGATCCAAAGAAGAAGAAACAAGCTCTTGCTTTCTTATTTCAAGCAATACCAGAAGAGATGGTGTTGCAAATGTCCGATTACACCGATCCAAAAAGGGTTTGGGAAGGATTAAAAACTTGGTATTTGGGTGTGGATCGGGTAAGAACGGCTCGATTAGCAACTTTGAAGAGGGAACTAGAAAGCTTGCGTATGAAGGAGGGAGAAACCGTTGATGATTTTGCAGCCAAGTTGAGTGGTTTAGCTTCGAAAGCACGGAGTCTCGGACATGAACTTGAAGAAGTTGACTTGGTGAAAAGGTTACTTGATTCTATTCCCAAGTCCTTTCTTCAAATTGTGGCATCGATTGAGCAATGATTTGAGTTGGATATGATGTTTTTTTATGAAGCTGTTGGTAGACTAAAGGCATATGAGGAGCGCATCAAAGGATCCGAGAAGGTGGAGGACGTTCATGGTGGGTTGTTGTTGTCAAGAGAAGAAAAGTCAGATGGTTGTATGCATTGTGGCAGTGGAGGTTCGCATCGAGATGGCTTTGGATGTGGCCGGGGAAGAGGTCATGGGTCTGGGAGGAGCCAAGATGGTAAGGAACGTGTTCGGGACAAGACTCACGTAAAATGCTACAAATGTGGTGAATTCAGTCATTACAACAATGAATGTCCAAAGTGGGAAAAAGAAGCAAACTTGATCATCGAGGAGGAGCCGACATTACTGTGATCTAGTGGGATGAAAAAACAAACCGATTAAGGGGGTGATTGTTGGTTTATTAATCGGTTTGGTAGTCATAATTTTACATGCATGGCTAAAACTTTGGTTATAATAAGTATTTATTATCTTATATTTTATTAGCTTAGTAGATAGAATTGTTTTTCTTTGTTTGACCAATTCCATGGACTTTGGAGCACATGGGAAGAATGGGTTAGTAGGTGCTACGAGTCTTTAGGCTCTTTTCTTGTTTTTTCATGTGGCTTTTAAGAGGGTTATATATAGCCTTCTATCATGAATAAAAGTATCAGAGGTTTTTTGCTTTCAATTTTCCATTCAGTACATTAGTTCTTTTTATAATCAATATTTTCTTTTCTTCTATTTCTGTCGACATATCAAAGCAGCAAACAAACATAGGCTATTATTTTGATTTATATATTCTACAAAAAATATGGGAGGCTGTTACGAAAATCTTCTATGATGGAATAGACGAATATCAAATCTTTGAGTTAAACCAAAGGTCCTTTATATCTCGCGAGAATGGACGATCACTTCCATCCTACTACAATGAATTAGTGAGCATATTCCAAGAATAGACACCCGTCTGACAACACGTGAAGATACTGTAAGGCATATAGTCGCTCTGAATAATACAATATCTCGATTCCATGTTCACATTTTCTTGGCATGCTTGGATGCTAATTTTAATCAAGCTATGAGTGAAATTTTAAGAAAATATCCACCCCTGGATTTGGAATCATGATATGCATATATCCGAAAAGAACAAAACCAATGACTAACTATGGAGGAATAAAAGCATGATCGAGATAGTATGGTTCATATGGTCTCTCGAAGTCGGCCCTAGAAAGGATAGAGCTCAAGTAGGAAATGTAATACTTTCACGTGTACTTATTGCAGGGAAGAAGGGCACTCAAAACTTTGATGCTACGAGATCATTGGATACCCATAATGGTGGGACTTTACAAAGAAATCAAGGAATAAAATAGGTTAAACAATAGTGGTTACTTCTTAAAAAACTCAAGACGTAACCACTCCAATAACAGGTTACACTTCTACCGACCTTTGGTTTGTTACAACATAATCATACTCCAAATAACAATTGAATAATTGATACAGGTGCAACTGACCATATGACGAACAATTTTGAAAACTAAACAACATCGTATCCCCAAAACAATCTATTATTCAAGTAGCTAATGGAGGATTAAAATACGTAATAGGTGAAGGTTCTGTAAAAGTGTCAAGCTCCATGGATCTTAACTTCATCCTTGTGTTCCTTCATTATCATCGAACATACTTTCAATTAGTAAAATTATTAAAGCCATGAACTATAATTTATTTTTTTTGGCGAAATGATTATGTGTTTCAAGATATGGTGACACATCAGATTCTTGGTTATGGTACTAGTTGGGGTCGGTTGTACTATGTCGAAGAAAATCATCAAAGTCAAGCTTATCACATGATAATAAAGTAAGTAAATAAGTATGTGACAATGTTATGGCCTCACCGTCTTAGGCATTTATCTTTCAAATATGTTAGGAAAGTTAAACCATTTTTTAAAAATTAAATAGATAGTGATTTCAAGTGTGGAATATGTGAATTAGCGAAAAATAAGAAAATTTCATATGTTCCTACCAATAGCTAACTATTTTCATATTTTTGAAAATTCATTCTAACGTATAAGGGCATGCTCCTAACCCTACTCCTAATGGTGCGAAGTATTTTGTCACCTTTTTAGATGAATGTGCTAGAACGATTTGGACACCCATCCTTGAAAATAAAGGAGAGGTAGTGTTTGCATTCAAAGAACTACTCCACCTTATCTAAACAAAATATAGGAAGGAGATCCAAATATTATAGTCTGCTAATGGTGGTGAGTAAATCAACCGTAAAATGACTCACCCTATCAAGAAAACTCAATCAGACACCAAACTTCTTATGCTAGAACACCCAAACAAAATGGAATAGCCAAAAGAAGAAATTAAAAAAATAATTGAGATCTTTCGGGCCTCCCTGTTTGGCATGAATGTTCCTCGAAAATTTTAGGTTGAAGTGATTCGATTGGCTGCATACATGATGAATAGAACCCTATACCATGTAATAGGGTTCAAAACCCCACTACAAAAGCTAAAAAAAACTTGTAGAAAAGATAGTTAACTACGACCTCGAACCAAGGATTTTTGGATGCATTGCATATGTTCACCAAAACATAGGAAAACTCGAAGCAAGAGCAATTCAATGTTTTTTCATGGGTATGCAGATCAAAAGAAGGGATATATATATAGATGCTACAATCTGATTGAAGATAAGATGTATGTAAATCGTGATGTAGCATTTTGTGAGAATGTACAATACTTTAGTAATGGGTGTCCACTTTAGGGAGAAAAACAAGGAGAAATGAACACACATAAAAAAACAATGGATCTCATCGACGACCTGGAAGAATTTAACCTCTGTGACAGGGTAAACAGAGGTAATGAAAGTGAAATGAACAATGAGACTCTAATTGAAGATACTTTTGAAACATAGGATGATGATTACAAAGGAGATGTTACAACCCCCATCGAAATGGATTCTGTCACCATCAAAAATATGGAGACAAATGTTATGCCTAATATAAATAAAATTCCAGAAAATGTGTCTGGTTCTATTTTGCAGGAAACGGAAGATGGATCTGAACAAAGATATCCAATAAGGAACAACCTTGGAGTTCCAAAGAAAAAGTACAACCATAATTAAAGGAAAAAACAAAGTATTCAATCAATAAATATGTGTCACACCATTATCTAGCAAGCTCACATACACAAGTGGTTGAAAATTTGTCCACCATCTCCATACCTAATGACATACAGGAGGTCGTGGAAGACAAGAAGTGGAATAAAGCTATGAAAGAAGAAATGGAGGCATTGCAATAAAAATCAAACGTGGGAGCTAGTTAACTTACCTCATGGAAAGAAAATGGTAGGAGGCAAGTGGATATACACATTTAAACTTGATTCAGATGAGAGCATAGATCAATACAAAGCGATACTCATGGCAAAGGGATACAAAAAAAATAGGGGATTGATTATGCTGATACGTTTGCACCCATGGATAAAATCAATGCCATCTTCATCCTAATCTCCATTGTAGGAAACGAAGACTGACCTCTTAGGCAATTTGATGTGAAGAATGTCTTTTTAAACTAGTATCTGGATATAGATGCTTGTATGGATCAACCACCAAGTATGAAATTTAGCGGAAAGGTATGTAAGTTAAAGAAATAATTATATGGGCTATGAAAGAAGAAATGGAGGCATTGCAACAAAAATCAAATGTGGGAGCTAGTTAAATTACCTCATGGAAAGAAAATGGTAGGATGCAAGTGGATATACACATTTAAACTTGATTCAGATGAGAACATAGATCAATACAAAGCGATGCTCATGGCAAATGGATACACAAAAAAATACAGGATCGATTATGGTGATACGTTTGCACCCGTGGATAAAATCAATACCATCCGCATCCTAATCTCCATTGTAGGAAATGAAGACTGACCTCCTAGGCAATTTGATGTAAAGAATGTCTTTTTAAATTGGCATCTGGATGAAGATTTTTGTATAGATTAACCACCAAGTATTAAATTTAGCGAAAATGTATGTAAGTTAAAGAAATAATTATGTGGGTTAAAGTACTCTCCCCGTGCTTGGTTTGGTCGATTATCAAAATTTATGAAAAAAGTTCGGGTATAAACAAAGTGATGCAGATCACACATTGTTTGTAAAAAAAATAGCAATAGGAAAGTGACTACACTTATCATCTATGTCGACGATATGGCGGTCACCAGAAATGACCTGGAAGATATGAAAAATCTTCAAGGAATACTTTCAACTAAATTCGAATTGAAGGATCTTGGTTAACTAAAATGATTCTTAGGTATAGAGGTGCCTAGATCCAAAGCTGGAATTACCATGTGTCAAAGCAAGTATGTATTGGACTTGTTAACTGAAACAGGTACGCTTGATTGAAAAACTGTAGATACTCCTATCAAAACTAACCACTGGTTGTCAATACACCAAGATCATGTACCCGTGGATAAAGAAATACATTAGAAGTTGGTTGGAAAACTCATATATATATATATATATATATATATATATATATATATATATATATATATATATATATATATATATATATATATATATCACAATAGACCAGACATTGCCTATGTTGGTAGTGTTGTCAGTTGTTTTATGCACGCCCCAAGTGAAGATCATATGAATGTCGTATATAGAATTTTAAAATACATGAAGTCCACTTATGGAAAGGGTTTATTTTTTGGAAAGAATAAAGACCACTAAGTCAGTGGGTACACTAATGCAAATTGAGTGGGGGATTGAATGGATGGAAAGTCCATTTTCAAATATTTTTCATTTGTTGCAGGTAACCTAGTTACATGGAGAAGTAAGAAGCAAAAAGTTGTATCAAGATCAAGAGAAGAGGTTGCGTTCCGAGGAATGGTACATGGAGTATGCGAACAAATTTGGATAAAATAAACTCTACGTGACTTGGGAGTGGCTCTAACATATCCTATGCAGTTATATTGTGATAATGAGTCTGCAGTGAAGATTGATAACAATCATGTTCAACATGATAGGAATAAACATGTTGAAATCTACATTTCATTAAGGATCACCTCGATAGGAAGTCTATATATTTTCCACATGTTAGCTCAGAAGATTAACTTGTGGATATGTTTTTCAGTGCTCTCTCAGCAACCTGAGAATGATAGATATACATTCTCCACCTTGAGGGGGAGTGTTTGTAATGCCTACCACTTCGGGCTAAACGTTTAGAGTATAGTAATAATATTTATCGTATACACATTATGTGGACAAATATTAAGAGTATATACTATTTGTAGAAAATATTAATGTAAAAATTATCGTTGAAGCGATAAAATAAAGAATAAAAATCAAGTATTATTTAGGATAAATAATATTAAC